GGGGCCACCTGCCCAGTGCCATGAAGAGAGGGGAGCTCAGAACCCACCACGACTGGGTCCCGTGGAATGCCCCATCATGATGGAGAAGGGCCGTGGCTCCTCTGCCCAGGTGAGCCCACAGATGGAGGTGACCCCACAGGTGAGGCGAGCGCTCACCTTGCTGTCGAGCTGCTCTCCGCGCTTCAGCAGGAAGTTGGCGATGGTGTCAAGCAGCCGTGGCTCACGCAGCCGGTGCCGTGCCACGTACTTGGCAATGAGGGCCATGGTGTAGGGGGTGAGGTTCTCTGCCTTCCGGGGCAGCCACTCTGCCGAGCCAACACAGCAGGGGGGCCGTCACAGGGGCCAGCTTTGTCCCCACCCCAGGTCCTCTGCAGCCACCACAGCCCAGGCAAGTGGGAGGACAGGACCGCACTCCCAAAAACTTCAAAAGCCAGGCAGCTCCTAAAAACCCTCAGGTATTGGTCAGGTGAGAGGCTGAGGCAGATTCCTGTCACTCACAGCCAGAAGGGACAGACAGAGCACAGCTGGAATGTGCACAGGTGTGCCCTTCTGCAAAACCCCACCAAAACTGTGTCCAGCCTGGAGGCACTGTGGGAAAACAGTCCCTGAAGGAACGGGAGGCTCCTGGTCCCTCCCAGTCCCTAAAGGAATGGGGGAACTCCCAGCCTGTCAAAGGGCTGGACTGGGCTGTCAGTGACAAGGGTGACCATGACACAGGGCTCCTCCTGCTACCGTTCTGGGGCTCAGCGGGGCCCCAGCTGAGGCTGTCACCACCCAAACATCCCCAAGGCCCAAGAAGGCATCTGTGAGGCTGCCCCCCCACCCGGCCAGAGGGCCCCCCGTCCTCTTCCTGACCAGAGCGCTGCACCCCCAATGCGGGTGGCAGCGCTGGACCCCACCTGGGCACCCCTCACCTGCCATGCTGTGAATGAAGCGCTCCTGCCGGTTCTCGTAGAAGAGCTGGGAGCTGAAGATGGCCTCCAGGGCCTTGTTGTTGGCCTCCTGGGCACACAGGGCCAGCATCTCGTCCAGCAGCGCCAGCTCGTGCTCCCTCATGGCGCTCACCTGGCCCAGCGTGTGCCGCACCAAGCGCAGGATCTTGCGGTTGTTGATGAGCTGCTGGTCGGAGGCCGCGTGGCCCTGCAGCGCCTGTGCCCGCAGCCGGTAGTAGGAGAGCAGCAGGAAGAGGGTCTGGGGGTGCCGCTCCTTCTCCAGGTGCCGCTCCAGGCTGCTGAGGCAGGACTCTACCAGCGGGTGGGGGCTGGAGGGGTGCAGCCGCATCACGCTGCTGAACACCATCGACACGTCCTTCTGGTTGAAGCGGCCCAGGCGGCTGCGGGACTCGTCCTCCAGCACCCGCACGAGCGGCGACTCCCCGGGCAGCCCTGCGGGGGAACGGCACAGGCACGGCTCAGATCCTGGGCATGGCTCAGCCCCATGGACACACCTCAGCTCCACGGCACAACCACCTCCTTAGCTTGGGCAGGAGGCCACTGCCACGACTGGATGGACGTGCTGGATCAGTGACCAAACCGAGAAAGGAAAGGAGGGGAAGGCAAAGCACCAGCAGAACATGAGAGCATCTCCACCATGGAAAACACTGCATGGAGCTGCGGGGTCATTCCCAACCATCCCACTGGAATGGGAGCCCTGCAGCTCACCTGCAGTAGCAAAGTTCATTAAGTCTCAAACATTTCAAAGACAAATTACTCATAGAATCCCAAAATCTCAGACTGCTTTGGGTTGGAAGGAACCTTAAATCCCATCCAGTTGCAGCCCTCTGCCACGGGCAGGGACACTTCCACTAGACCAGGCTGCTCCAAGCCCTATCCAACCTGGCCTGGAGCACTTCCAGGGGCTCTAGACACTCAAACAACTCACCTCAAAAAGTTGTGGTTGGAAAACAACTGTGACATTCCATGTGACCAAACTAAACCCTGTTTGTTCCAACAGGGACTAATCCTTTGGCTTTTTTGACCTTCTCCTGTTTCCCAGCTCAGCTACAGCTTGTGCAACCTGGCTCCCAGGGAAACACTTCCCTGCAGCTCAGGAGGTGTTATCCAGGCCTTGGCACAGGCTCCGTGCTTTGGCTGTCAGGAGGGATCTCCTCAGCAGAGGCAAAGAGCACTGGGGGGGCCTGGAGTTCCCCATCACCCCAGGATTTGGGCGGGCACAGGCCGCAGGGCAGCGCAGGGCGAGTCACTGCGGGTTATTGTTAATCAGAACTCAGGAGGGGGAACGTGAACAATTGGTCTGAGCAGCCGCTTTGTTCCGTAAAAAGGTCTCAAAAGAAAGCTGGAGTTTGTGTTAATGAGGGACAAGGGGGCAGAACGAAGTGGGGGGCACAGCAGAGCTGAGGGGGGCCCAGCATGGGGAGCCTGCTGAGGGCAGCGGCACCGGCAGCTCCGGCTCAGTGTCAACAAACAGCCGGCGCCGCCGCCCTGGGGACGGGCAGAACCGGCCCCCCACCCCCGGCAGGGGCTCGAGTTACTGCGTCAACCCCGGCCGGGCGGCTCCACCGAGCCCTGGCCCAGGAAGGCTGCAGGGAACGGATCGAGACCAGGATGGGGGAGCCACGGGCAGGAGGGCAGGCACCCGCCAGATCCTGGAATCCTGGAATTGTTTGGCTTGGAAGGGACCTTAAAGATCATCCAGTTACAACCTCCTGCCATGACCAGGAACACCTTCCACTATCCCAGGTTGCTCCAAGCCCCGCCCAACCTGGCCTTGAACCCTTCTAGGGATGGGGCAGCAACAGCGTCTCTAAGCAGCTTGTGCTAGGGCCTCCTAACCCCCTCAAGGAAGAATTCCTTCCCAAATTCTATCTAACTCTGCCCTCTGGCAGTGGGAAACCATTCCCCCTTGTCCTGTCCCTTCAGGACCTTGTTCAAAGACCCTCTCTAGCTCTTGGAGCATCCCCGTGCCCTCCCTTGGGCTTGCTCCATGTCTTTCTGCTGTTTGGCTTCAGAGCTGGAAGCAGCAATGCAGGCAGGGCCTCACCTGAGTGGGGCAGAGGGGAAGATTCCCCCTGCTGCCCACTCCTTCTTGGATGTAGACATCATCCCTTTCCTCACAGAGGAGGACTTGCAGGGTGACCCTGGCACACAGAAGGAGAAGCCTCTGGGATGCAGCCTTCCCTGGAACACAGCTCCTCAGGATGCGGCCTTCTCAGCTCAGCAGCACCCCAAGGAAGCTGCACAGGAACCCAACTACCTCAAACGCTCTCTCCCACACGGCAGCACGGGGCTTGTGCCCTCCAGGAGTTCAGCCAAACCCATGATCTCCCCCATTGGTGCTCAGGTGCTTCTGGGTCTTCAGGGCTTGGAACTCAAGCTGGACCTAGACACGGCCCAGGAGTGGCTGATACACATCCTGCCAGGCAGGGCTGCCCAGCATCGATCTCCTGGTCTGCTAGGGACACTAAGCCCTCCTGTCCTGCAGGAGCAGAGCATCCCTGCTGAGCTGAGCCCCCTGAGCCCTCCTGCCCCCTGACCAGAGCCCCCCGTGGTCACAGCTCTGTCTGCCACAAATGCACCACTACATAAATCCCTACAAACCCGGTCCTGGCCCCTGCTGCAGCGCTGCGCTCCCCACCCTGTCCGAGACCCCCGGGGTGGCTCACCCAGCGCGGCCGCTGCGTACAGGCAGTTGACGATGCTGAAGTTGTCGAACTTGGCGCAGCCACTGACGATGGCCTGGCACAGCACGTGGAACTCGGGCTGCTCCAGCACCTGCCCCGCGGGCCCGCGGCTGTCCCCAGCCCCCATGGGCGGCCCCGGTTGCTGCTGCAGGAGCTGCCCCAGCTTGTGAAGCGCTATGGGGTAGTGACTAGCCGACACCTTGCCCGGGTTCTGCGTGACCCAGCGGAGCACCTCGCCCACGCTGCGCGAGCGCTCGATCAGCCGCTTCATGGTGAAGAAGGTGTCGTAGCTCATCTTCTCGTGGATGAAGTTCCAGCTCTTCCTCTTGCCGTGGGCCCGGCCCCGGCCACCGTCCGGGTGCACGGCGGGCAGCAGCCCATGGCCGTAGGGGTCCAGGGGCAGCAGCAGCCGCGGCCTGGCCTTGCCGGCGCAGCAGCAGGCGGGGAACATCGCGGCACCGCGGCGCTCACGGGCAGCCGGGCCCCGCGGGCCCGCCCGGGTCAGAGCGCGGAGCCATGGGCACAGCAGCGGGCACAGCATGGCGGGGGCGGCGCGGCGCGGGGGGCTCCGCGGCTCCGGAGGACCCTGCGGGACAGAGGGGCGGGGGGTGAGCGGAGGAACGCGGGACGGCCGGAGCCGGCGGGGCGCACGGGCGGCCGCTCCCCGACCCGGCAGGCACTCCCCCCCCAGCCACCGGGATCCCCGCCCCCGGACTGCCCCGCCCGCACTGCTCCCCGGCATCGCGCCCACCGCCCTGGCTGGGCCCACATCCCGCCCGGCCCCGTGGTGCCGGGACCTCCGGCCTGCCCGGTGTCCCCCGCCCCACAGCACCCGCCCCTCTCCCGGGCATACCCCGACCTCCACCGGCACCGGGCCCTCCCTGGACCCCCGGCGGGATTCCCTGCCCCCCATCCGGCCAGAGCCGGCCCAGCCCGGCCGTACATGGCGCTGGCGGCCGCTCGGTCCCGCCGCCACCGCCGCCGCTCAGCGCCGCCGGGACACGGGCACGGCCCGGGAGCGCAGCCCCGCCGCCATCTTCCTGCAGCCCCGCCCCACGCGCGGCACTTCCGGGGCGGAGCCGGCACGCGCCGCATGCAAATCAGCGCCGCGCCTCCGCCAATGAACGAGAGCTCCGTTCAGAGCGGGGCGGTGCCGCGAGCGCAGGCGCGCTACGGCCCTGCGGAGCGTTCGGCGGGAGCTGCCAGGCCCCGCCCCCTCCCGGAGCCCCGCCCCCTCCCGGAGCCCCGCCCCCCCGGGCCGCTCCCCCACTGCCCCCCTTCCCGAGGCACGGCGCAGCACAGCCGGGACTCCACGGCCGGTCACAGTCTTTCCGCTTTAATCGGAACGGCGGCGGGGGGTGGGACCCCCCAACACAGCATCGGAACCCCCCGGGACACTGGGGCGTGCAGCCACTCCCGGCACCGGGCCTACCTGGGGGCACAAATTCTCCCCCGGCACAGGGACCTCAGGAGCGCATCCCGCCGGCACCGGGACCCTCGGCACCCCAGGGCTCACGTCCCTCCCCAGGCACGGACACCACCCCGGGCACGACTGCACCCGAGGAGCTTCTACACAGAGTGGCTGGGGAAATGCTCCATGCAGGGACAGGGGGCACCGGGACCCCCACGAGGTAGCTGAGCCCCAGCTCCTGCAGCAGCCCCTGTGTGCCGACAGGGCGTGGGTGGGCACCTGCTCGGGACTCCTGGGCTCGTGGGGGACACACAGCAGGGCCCAGTTCCCCCGCTTCCAGTGCGGTGGGCAGGCCCCACGTGCCCCCGGTATGCTGAGTGGGCTGAATGCAGAACCCTCCGTGTCCCAGGTGGGTTGGGCAGGCTGTAAGTGTCCCAGGTGCGGCTCTAGGTCCCCCGTGTCCCAGGCGCTGGTCTGGGCTGCGCTATCTGCGGTACATGGCGAAGGCCACAAAGGTGACGAGCAGGGTGAGGCCGGCCAGGCAGGTGGTGGCGGTGGCGGTGAAGACGTGGCGGTGCTGCAGCTGCAGGTACCAGAGCAGGGCCAGCAGCAGCACGAAGAGTGGCAGCGCCAGGCTGCCCACGCCCAGTGCTGCGGGCGCGGGGTTGCGGGGACCAGGGGTGCCGGGGGCAGTGGGGGCCACACTGGGCGGGGACAGGTGACAGTGCAGGACGCTCAGGTGGCCCAGGTGCAGCCCCGCCAGGCTCTGGGCATCGTCACGCAGCAGCTGCCCCTGGTAGATCAACCGCACCTGCTGCTCCTGCCCGGGGAAGTATGTCCTGGAGGAGACAGGGACAGCGGTCACGGTGCTGACAGGACAGGCCCCTCTGACCCACCTCCCGTGACTGTGCCCACCCCGAGCTCTCTCCCCAGCCGCGCAGCCGAGTCTGTGCGTCGCCATCAGCCACCCCAAGTGTCACTCGCCAGGTCAGTTTCTTCATCCCCATCCTGTGACTGTGCCCACCCTGACCCCACACGCTTGTGCGTGCCCCAGCTGTCGCCTGCCAGGACAGTTCCCTCCGTTCACCCCCTGCCATCGTGACCCTCCCGCCGTGCCCACGGACCCGAGCGTGCGTGTGCCCATCAGCCACCCCAGGTGCCACCTGCCAGCACGGGCTGTCCCCCGACCCCGCCAGGGCCAGGCGCAGGTAGCCGGGCACAGGCCACCTGCCCCGGGACACCGCTGTCCCCTCCCGGGTGCTGCGGGAAGGAGAGGGACGCCCGGCGGGGTCCGGGGACCCCTGAGCCGGGACGAGTCGCCCCTGTCCGTCCCCCCTCACCTCTTGAGCGCACCGACGGTGTCCCCGGGGCGCACCCGCGCCAGGCGCTCCGTGTCGTTCAGGAACTTGAGCCGCAGCACCAGCGTGGGCTCGGCGGGGCCCTCGGGGGTGGCCGCGGGAGGGCTCCGTTGCCGCAGCCCCGCCGCCTCATCGGAGCCCGCCGCTCCCTCGGCCGGGGCCGGGGCTGGGGTCGGGGCCTTGCGCTCGGCGGGGGCCGTGCTCGGAGCCGCTTCGGTCGGCGGCGCCGCGGGCTCGGGAGCGCGCGTGGAGGCCCAGGCGAGCCCCAGCACGGCGGCCGCCAGCAGCAGCGCGAACAGCACCGTCACTTCATCGCCGACGCCCTCGATGAGCGCCATGGCGGTGGCAGGACCGGGGGGCGGCTACCGGGCGGGCGCGGCCTCAGCCCGCGGGGCCGCGGGGAACCGGGGCCGGGGCCACGGCCGCACCGGGCCGGGCTCGGGCCGCCATCGCGCCGCTTCCGGCCGGGCGCGGGGGGGGATGGGACATGTAGTCCTGACTGCAGGAGCCATAACGGGGGTGTGGTCGCCGCGCGGAGCACGCCGGGAGTTGTAGTCCCGGCCCGGCGCCGGGCACTCCCGGTGTACTCCCGGCTACTTCCAGCCCCTCCTAGACACTCCCGGCATTGTTCTAGTAACATGAACTGTGTTCCCAGACAGTTCCAGTACGGTCACAGTATTACCCCAGCATCCCCCAGCCTCTCCCGGTATGCTTTCTGTTGCTCCTTGTCTAATTCCCAGTATGAACCCAGTTAACCCCAGTATGATGCCATTTGTCCCCAGTGTAGTTCCAGCTGCTACCTGTCACCCCCAGTATGGCTCCAGTCGCTCCCAGATACTGCAGGTACTCCCAGGTTTAAATTGCTGAGGATGTGTCACTTGGGGACATGGGCAGTGGTGGCCATGGCCATGCTGAGGGTGGGTGGGCTCAGGCATTTCTGAGAGTTTTCTACCCACGGTGATTCTGGAGCTGTGAATCCCCAGGAGTGCCCAAAGCCACTTGCAGGTTGACATTAAATCTTTTATATTAGGTGAAAAAATATTAATTTTAAGTTAAAAGTTGTTAATTTTAGGTGAAAAGGTCTTAATTTTTGGCTAGCAATTGCTCATTTTAAGTGTAAGATTCTTAAATTTTAAGTGAAAAGTTCTTAGTTTTATGTAAAAAATTCTTGCTTTTAGGTGAAGAGGTCCAACTATGGAAATACAGCAACAGTGATGGGGGAGATGGGAACAAACTGACCCTCCCCCGAAGGACAATTGTGAGTAGAAATTCTGGGAAGCAATGTCCCTGTCCCCAGGGTGTCCCCTCCACAGGTCCCTCGCTGGCATGGCACTGACATTTCCTGGAATAAGATCATGAGGATTTTATCCTCCATATTATTTCTCCTGGGAAAATGTCAGGAGGAAATCAGGATAAAAGCAGGAGGCATCAGTGAGCCAGGGCAGCCCCTTCCTGCTGAGCCTCCCAGGAGGGAATCCATGATTTCCATCCTGGGATTCTGTGTGGGAGCTGCCTCTGGGTGGGAAGGAAGGCAGGTGAGGGATCACACCTCCAAGGAAGACAAAACGCGTCTCCAGCTTGGAACTGCTGAGGTGCCCAGCGGATCCCGGGGCTGTCAGAGCAATGGACGTGACAGCAGCAGCAGATTTAAACCATGACTGATCCGTGCAGGCAGAGAACCAGGATTTATCCCTTCCCGAAGTTGGAACGAGCCCGAATCCACTGCTGGAGGGGTTGTGTCTACTCAGATTTGAGGGTTTATCCAGCAGTTCATCCTCTCCCTGATAAATCCGGTGTCTGGTTGTCACTGTGGATTTGTCTGGCTTCAGCTCCCAGAGAGTTAGACTTTTCCATCCTCCCTGCCTCGATTAAGAAGCTGTTTAATATTCACCTGAAAGTCCTTCCCCAGTGTCATCCAGTCACCTTCAGTTCCCCAGGAAAGCTGAGCAGATTGTGCTCCTTCAATCTGCTGCTGAGGAACCAGGGAGCGTTCGTGTTGTCCTGCCCGGGGCTGCTCTGAATCCCTTGGATTTTTCCATGTTCTCCTGGAAGGCTGGTGCTGGAAAGCGATGGCCAGTTCTGGAGCTGGGAACCCCCTGCCCTGTCTGGGCTCTGCAGGCGGTGGTGACCTGGTCCCAGGGCCCCAGACAGCGACACCCAAAGGTGTCCCAGCCCCTTCCCGCAGCTCTGCCCCGCTGGGGCTGGGATGGGCAGCTCCAGCCTCCTCTGGCACAGGAGCAGCAGGGCAGTGCCCGTCCCAGGCAGGCACGGCTGAGGCCTCAGCTCAGGCTTGGGCCCCGCAGGACAAGGAAGACCCTGAGGGGCTCCAGCGTGTCCAGAGCAAAGAACGGAGCTGGGGAAGGGGCTGGAGCGCCGGGAGCAGCTGAGGGAGCTGGAAAAGGGCTCAGCCTGGGACCTTCTGGCTCTGCACAACTCCCTGACACGATAGGTGGGCGTCAAGCTCTGCTCTCAAGGAACAAGGGACAGGACAAGTGGAAACAGCCTCAAGCTGTGCCAGAGGAGGTTTATGTTGGATATTGGGGAAAACATTTTCATGAGAAGGGCTGCCCCATTGTGTTTCAGCCAAGGTTCATGGTCCCCTCCTTCTGTTTCCTCTTTACTCACCATTTCACCTTTCCTCAGTGTTCCTCCCTGTGGTCTCCCCTCTGACCTGCTGGCTGAGTCCCCTCCTGTCCCACAGGCCTTGAGGGGATTGTTGACCCTGAGCTCTGTTCAGGACCTCCATAGTGCCCAGCGGGGTTTAATCCACCTTGTTCCATTTTCAGCCTCTTTCCCAAAGCCCACATATTCAGACAGTCCAGCTCCTCCGGGCCTGTGACCAGAGAGGGGTGGCAGAGGGATTCTGCCCCAGTGGGGCACTGGGGACACTGGAACACCAGCCCAGCCATAGATGTCCACCCTGTGATGTCCCTGCTTCATGGGGAGGCAGTGCTGATGGGACCCAACCCAGCCCAGAAGAGGATTCAGGGCCCCTCAATGTGCAGGTGGACACCTGGAGTGGAACGTGTCCCAGCTGTCACCAAAGTGCATGGGGTGGTCTGAGATGGCCGATGGCATCACGGTAGGTCACAACAAAGGACACAGGCAGCCATGGTCCTGTGAGCTCTGGTCACCCCCTGAGGCCAGCAGCCATGCTGTGTCCTTGGCACAGCGAGGGGACATGACCTCTGGGTGGGACACTCTGCTTCTCTCTGCTCCACACCCAGAGCTGCCCAGAGCCTCGTGGCAGGGACACAGAGGGATGCTCCAGCCACTCAGCAGTGGATTTTGGATTTGCCATTTGACAGCTGCATGGTGCGGATCTGGATGGGATTAACGCTGGGGCTGGTACCTCCTTGCTCCAGAGTGAGATTAAAGAGCTGCAGCTATTCTGGGGAAAGCTGCTGGCTGATCCCCAGCCCAGAGAGAACAGTCCCTGTCACTGGAGGGTGGCATTAAACACCTCCCTCCCTCCCTCCGAACCAGTGCTGCCATGCAGAAAAGTGCCGATGCATTTGGGAACAGGAGCCACAAATATGTTGGGTGCACAGGAGGACGGGCAGCCCGAGCCTCCCAGAGATAGACGGAGTTTCCTGCTCCCCTTAGCCTGGGAAAGAGGAGCAGTGTCCCCAGCAGTGTCCCCCAGCTGTGCCCTCAGCTCTCCCAACAGAGACATCCCCAGAGAAAGAAAGCCCCGGTTTTTATTGCAAGAGTGATCAAACACCTCGGAGTGTCCCAGTGCACTGAGAAGCCGTAAAGCCCTGGAGAGCCCCCTGGAGCCCCCTCTCTGCCCATTTTGCTTGGACACTGACTGAAGCTCAGCTCTGGGCCTTGGCCTCAGCTCTGGTCTGGGGCTGCTGCTCCTCAGCTCTGCATCCTGGGTGGACATTGGGGGTCTGCTGTGGGGACCCTCCTGCTGCCCCACGTGGGCTCTGGTGCTGTCTGGTGTCATGGAATGGTTTGGGTGGGAAGGGACCTTCACACCATCCTGTTCCACCCCTCTGCCATGGGCACCATAGATACCAGGGTGGCTGGTCTGGAGGTGGCAACAGCGGCAGGAAAAGGAGGAGGAGGAAGAGGAGAAGGAGGAGGAGGAGGAGGTAACAGAGGAGGTGGCAGCTCCTCTTGGCAGCGGCACCGGTTTGAGGCACTCACGAACTGTAGTCAGATGGAAGTGCTGCAGATGGAGCAGAGAAAGTTCAGGATATGAGGGTGAAATCCATCCTGAAAAGCAGTTCACATCTTCAAGTGGCCTGTGTCTGCAGAGGGCAGGTGGTTTTCTATCCCTGAGGGAATGTTTGCTCCTAAAAGCCTCGGCTGATCCCCACCCGCTCCTGCCTTTTCAGCATATTGAACTTCTCTCCTGGGTTTTCCCATGCCTTTGCTAAGCCCCAGCTCCATCTGTTTGCTCTGCTCCCCTGCACCACTCCGGGCTCCAGCTCTCCAGTACTGGCCCCAGTGCTGACTGGGGGGTCCCAGGGGCTGGCAGGGACAGGGCTGGGTGATGCTCCATCCCAGTGTCCTCCTGCGTCCCGTCCCATCCTTGTGCCTTGTGTCCTGCTGGGTGCTGGGACGTGGTGCCATGGGACGCAGGGGATCCCCGGTGCTGGAGGATTCTGGTGCCCGAGGAGACCCGAGCTGTCAGCTCAGGGCAGTCTGTAAATGCCCACGTGGGGGACGAGCAGCTGGGGCTGCAGGGGGGGAATCGCCTACCTCTGCCGGAGGAGAAGGAAGAAGAGGAAGATGAGGAGGAGCAACAGGAAAAGGAGGAGAAAGAAGAGGAGGAGGGGGGAGGGGATGTGGGGGTGGCAGAGCCCACCTGTCAGGGGAAAGCCACCTCTGCCTCAGCCAGGTGAGGGTGACGAAGGCAAGAGGTCCCATCCCTCACCAGGGATAAATCCTGGAATCGCTGACCGAGAGGGTGACACAGTGGAGGCGGCTGCACGTGGGGTGTTTGGACGTTCAAAGGTGCCGAAATGGAGACAATTTATAAATGTTTATGCCATAACTGACTGAGGGCAGGGTTTACTGGGATACTAGGGAGAAATTCTTCCCTGTGAAGGTGCTGACGCCCTGGTGCAGGTTGCCCAGAGAAGCTGTGGTTGCCCTATTCCTGGAAGTGTTCAAGGCTGGGTTGGAGGGGGTGTGGGACTGGTCTGGTAGAAGGTGTCCCTGTCTGCAGCAGGGGGTGGAACTGGTTGGGCTTTAAGGTCCCTTTCTACCCAAACCATTCTGGGATGATGATGATGATAATGGTAGAAGATGGAGAAAAAAGCCATGAGCAAGGACCAAGGGACCCAAACAAAAAACAGGCTGGAGAAAGGCCATTGCATGGGCA